CAGCAGCTCCTGGTGCCACAGGCTCCTGCTGCAGCAGCTCAGGTAAACACATCCCGAGCGCTGCAATCGCCCCGCGCATCCCCCGGGCAGCCCCGGGCTGCAGTGTGGCCTGGGCAGAGCCCCCGGCCGAGAGGAGCCTCCGCCACCCGGCCTGGCCGAGGACACAAACATGTTTACCTTGGGCCGAGGCGGCTGCGCGGGCGGCAGGAGCTGGGGACGTGGAGCATCCTCCCACCTGGAGCCTGGCCAGGCCCCGGCTTCACCAACGTGCATCCCCAGGCAGCCCCGCAGGTGCTGAGACCCACCTGGGCACCGCAAAACGCAGGGACGGGGCTGGGGATAGGAGCTCGTGTCCCTAGGGCTGGGAGAACCCACTCCGGGCGGCACAGCAGGGTCCTGCTCCCCATGGGCCTGGGCTCCAGCAGCCGCCCAGGGCAGTGGGACGGCACTCGCTGGCTCTGCAGCGTGAACACTGCTGGGAACAGGCTGTTGGCAGGAGGAGGGCCCCCCTTCTCCGATGACCAGATAAACTCTCGCGCTCGCACCGCTGCCGGACACGTCTGGCACACGTCATCCCACCGGCCTGGCCGTGCCGGGAGCGCGGGGCTGGCGGAATCTAGCCCAGTCGGAGCATCCCCGTCGCGCGGCCGCGGTCCCCGCTGGGCGCGTTAGCCACGGGCTCAACCCCGCGCACCCCGGGAAGAGGGGCCGGGTCCGGCCGCGCTCACCTGCCCTGCAGCACTCACCCGGGCCGGGCGCAGGAACAAAGTGGCGATGCCAGCCAGCATCATTAGACTTCGTTAAGGTGACGAGCTTTCACTTCCCAGCCTGGCGCCGTTCCACCTGCTGCAGCCCAATTAGCGGCGCAGCCAGGATGCTGCTCCAGCAAAAGGCAGAGGCAGCAGACGCCACTGGCATCGCTCTGCCCGGGAATTCCTCGTGTGGCTGAGACCCGGCACAGCTCAGCGCAGGTCCTGGACAGGCTCCCCGCCGTGCAGGCCGGGGTGCAGGGTACCGCAGGGACGGGGCTGCGCGGGGATGAGGGTGTCCCAGCGGAACGGAGCGGCCGGGCAGGTCGGAGCTCGCTGCTGCCCGCCGCTCCGGGCTGGGGGCTCCGCTCCAAGCCCTCCTGCTGCGCAGCCCCCGCCACCGCACCATGCCAGGCCCTGGGCTTGTTCCACTGTTGTTTATTATATATTAAGGTCACAGATATTCCAGTTCTTTGATCCCTCAGGGCCACAGCACACAGGGCTGCACGGGGCAGGGGGCTGTGCGCAGGGCAGGGGGCGAGGGGGGCAGGAGGCACAGGGAGCCCTTGGGGCTGGTGAGGTGGCAGAGGGGCACAGGGGGGCTTCACCATGGCTGAGGGCAGCTGAGCAGGGACCACGGAGCATGGGGATCCTGCAGCACGGGACCCCGGAGCATGGGAATCCCTAACCACATGTATCCTGGAGCACAGCGATCCCGCAGGATGGGGATCCCAAAGCAGCAGATCCCAGAGCACACGGAACCCCAAGCAGAGGGATCTGCAGCACACGGAATCCCAGGCAGAGGGATCTGCAACAGGCCCCAGCCCGGCTTGGCGCTGCCTGGCCCTGCTTGGCCCAGCTCCCCGCAGCAGGACAAGGCTGGACCGGCCCTCCCTGCTCCTCCGCAGCTGCCCCAAGGCATGTGAGTGACCTTGGCACAGCCCCAGCCAGGACACCCGGATACTACGAGGAGACAGCGCGAGGACAGCAGCGCACTGGTGGCTCTTGCCCAGGCAAGGCAGCCCCGGCCCTGGGCGGCCCCTCGCCCTTGGGTCCACTCTGTCGTCATTGGTATGAGGCACAATCCCTGCTCCCTGCTCCTCCGCAGCTGCCCCAAGGCATGTGAGTGACCTTGGCACAGCCCCAGCCAGGACACCCGGATACTACGAGGAGACAGCGCGAGGACAGCAGCGCACTGGTGGCTCTTGCCCAGGCAAGGCAGCCCCGGCCCTGGGCGGCCCCTCGCCCTTGGGTCCACTCTGTCGTCATTGGTATGAGGCACAATCCCTGAAGAGCCCAGCGGCCCGCGGCCGCTGGGGAGTTTTGGCCAAGCAAAATGAGGGTGCGGGGGGCCAGGAAAGGGCAGCAGCGGGGGGGG